CGACTATGAAATTTACGTTTTAGCGACTTACTGTTTCTTTGCACATAAGGCAATCTACCATGCTTAATAGAAATTGTCACGAATGCACGTCAAGAGTCATATAAAGAGGAATTTCTGATTCGATTATTTTAAATAATCTGTACTGTATATAGATCCTACTTTTTAAATAAAGCAATGTACAAATGATTATGTTAATATCCTATAACATATATGATGAATTTCTGTATTATCATCATCATACTAATTGGACACGCACCTCCATTCCTTCCTATCCTGAGCTAATCTTCGCAATTCCCTAAAACTAATCTAATCTTAATCTTAACTTCTGTTTCTGCTTCTAATATAGGATTTTAACTAGCCTTCATGCCTTAGAAGGTGTCTTACCGACTTATCTCCCCTATTTCTTATTGACGTCCATGCGTCTTCTGTTCTCCTACCATTTCTAACCTTCTTTATCAAAAAAAATAATAATAATAATGGAAAACTCTCAATAATGTCTGACTGTCAACGTAAAAGTAAAAAGCAATTTTTGCCCAAAAGATCTTAGAGTTTATTTTAGACAAAAGTTTGACCCACAAAAACAACCTTTAAAAAAAAATGACTGCCTCTACCGCGCTTCGAATAGGAAAACAAAATGTAGGCCAAGATAAAGACGAACAGATTGCTTAGAAAAAGTCATCAATACATTTTTGAGTTCTAATTCCGATGAAGAGCATGACACAGACAAACTACTCCATCTCTTCTCGCGCCTCGTAATGCCATTGAAGAAAGATAGATAAACAATCCACGTCCAATATTAGTAAACAAGAACAAGTCCATATCAATCTGTGACAGTAGATCATCATCAGAAAGAAATGCAACGCCGTAGATAATGGCTGCAGCTAGTCCGGCAGTATTTTGATGAAGAACGCTAATCGCCATGAGAATTATCAAACCCAAAGTGACCATAGTATCAGTCAGCTTTTGAACAGGTTCCTTATCTGTCATAAAGTATCCCGGCACAGCACCAAGGCTTAGTAGCGCATAAAAACTGTTCATGTATTTGTCGTAAGTGTTCAAACTCCACATCTCCGCTGCCACAAAAGGAACAAGAAGCGCATTGACAAAAGCGTGCGTCATATTGTAATGGTCCAAAGATTCGCTACTATTTTGTTTTTCAAAGTTCTTCGTTGACACCAATAAACCTGTTACAGAAAAGGCAGCGGCCACTGTGAACGCCACCATGCCATACCGTATGAGCCCGACGGTAAACATGAATCTTATGAACGATAGTACACAGATGGCTGTCAAAATTCTGAACGAAACAACCGTCGCATAACTGGGCTGGACTAAATAAATAGAGCTGTCGAATGGTGCTACTATTCGGGCACTCTTTTTGGTTTTATTTTTTTGTTCTTTGTTCGGAACCAGACAAGGCGGCAACGATAATTCGTCTGATGATAAATCTTCACAAAGTTTCTTTTTATATTGAAATGAATTCGATGGTGACGTACTGTCTTCGAGTAATTTTCCAAGAGTGGGGCATTTCCTACCACAAACTTTCAATTTGTTACGTTTATATTGATCTTCTGTATCTCTAACAGGTTTACATTTAATAACTGTCGCTTGTGCATCTTCTTCTTCGTCTTCTCTATAACATCTTGTTGTGGATAGCTTTTCTTTTGACAGCTTCCTATTGCCACACGTGCATGTAACTTTTGGTGTTTTGTCACACGAGCTTTTCTTACATGTATGTCCTTTTGATGGTCTTTTACCACATGCAGATTTCATTTTTGAATTTTTCTTGCATACTTTGCATGTTTTCGAAGGCTTTCTTTTCATTTCCTCCTTATCTAACTTTCTTGAAGAACATACTTCTTCTTTCTTGCAAATACTTTCTTTTGACATTCTTTTATTGCTGGTTTTTATATCTTCCAGAAAAATTTCTTTTTCACAGTTTAATTCTTTCTTTGACATCTTTCCTTTTTTCTTCTTTTGGTTCTCATGTAAATTTCTCTTGCACGCATTCTCTTTCGGACATTTATTTTTTTTGGAACATAAAAACCTGCAAATATTCCCGCACACGCTTTTACTGCGAGCTTTTCCAACTTCATCACATTCGTTTCTACTGCTTTTGGAAATACATATTAAACTGGGCTTTTTAGCATTACTAGAACTAGAACTGCAACTAGCACTACCTTTACTACTATTACTGCTGTGTTCTGAAAAGGAAACACTGTGCTGTTGACATAATTTCGATTCTGTTACTTTGCACGTATTTAGTTCGACTTCTGAAGATGAGGATAATTGAGAGTCGTATTTTTTTATTGCTGCCTCTTCTTTAACAAGATCATATTTAATATCACTTTTTACTTTTTCGTTACTAGAACTTGAATTGTTACTAATTTCTGGAGACGTTGATGGCGTTTGATGTGTCGCCAATTTTAATTCAGGATAGGGTTGACGCAAAATGGAGTCAGAAGATTTGCTTTCACATAATTTTATTTCATTGCTGTGTTTCTCAAAATCAAAAGATTCTTGCCTCATTTCTTTATTATTTTCACAGTCAGCTGTGAATTCAGCTTCTTCCACTTTTTCTTTTTCGGTAATGTTACGTTTATCAATAGAAGAATTAGATTCCGATTGTGGTCTCTTCTTTATGTTGCCTGTTATCACATTACAGCCCTTCGGGGCTATATTTGTGCACAGTACATCTTCACTTTCTTTGGGAAGCGTTACAAGTCCTGACCACATTCGCCTTATCAAATTTATTCTTCGTCTTCTTCTCTCCTTCATCTCTGTATCGTTTTCTTCAATAACGCTTGCTTTTGGTGGTACGAATTCTTCGTCGACTGCACATGTTCGTTTAATATTTTTGTTCGACTTCAGTCGCAAAATGGGCGATTTGAAAAGGAATTTTGTCTCCTTTTCGTCAACCGCATTATCTTGATTTGTATTACGAAATTTTTGAAGACGGTTGAAAATGTACTTTTTCAGTGTGAAGTCTGTACCGTCCGATGGTGCAAGTTTCAAATCAATTTCGCTGTAAAATCGCTTGCCCACGAGTTCGACTTCTTCATCATTTTCTAAGATCTCCGAAGAAGATCGACTTAAGTACGGAAATGCTTCTTCATTTTGACAATTAATTTTATCGTGTAATTTTGTTATAAGCTTTTTTATATCGAATCGTTCAAAAAGTCCAGCCTTTTTGTCTTTCGAGAACATTATTACATTTATATTTTTATTATTTTTTTATGAAGACTGTAAAATTGGACACTTTAATACAGATCTCCTTTTCATTTTAGTAGACGGATAGTTGAAGAAAGATACATATTACTTCAAAATTTACTTCTAAAGGCCAAAAAATATAATAAAGAAATGAATTTACGTAACTGACGTTTTCACAAGTCAGTAAGTTTGACAGATGTCTTAAAACTGGTATATTGTCTTATGAGTTTATTATATTAAGCTTATTTTCTAAACATAAGTACATTAATCAAATTTTGAAAACTGATTAATTCCTCTTAATAGTAATCGTCGTAATATAAGTTCCGACGTCTTCTTCTCCCATTACTTTCTCTTTCATCGTAATCTCTCCTGCCATCGTAATATTTCCTACGACTGTTCTTACCTCTTCTATAACTTCGTTCATCACACCTACCTCCTCTAAATCTTTCGTTATCGAAGAAACGTCTTCGGTCTTCAAAACACAAATCCATGGATGTTTCACTATCCACATACTTAACTATTTTTTTGACTATAGGAGTTTTCCTGTTAGTTTGACTATTACTGTCAGTATAGCGAATGGTATTGTGATGTCGTCCAGTAAAGGTTTTTTTGTCAGGATACACGTGAGTGTAATACTTTGAGCTACTTCTTCTGCCATCAGAACACCCAGTGATAGTACTTGATGCAGACTCAGTCACGTCATTTTTCATCAGTGCGCAACGTTTAGATGCACACATACAAGTGTTATATATTCGATAGGAGGAGCTGTCATTTTTGATTGGAATTTTATGACAACAATATTTAAGCCGTTTCTTCCTAATCAACTCTGGTTGTGGCGTACCATACTCGTGAAGATTTCTATGATTAGGTGATTCGTGCGGATTACAACTGTGAATATGGAACTTTTGTACATTTTCTGCACATGGGGTTGTATGATTTCCATATTTCGAGTATGCACCAGTAACCATAGAATATCGCATTGGATAACAGTCATAGTTTTGGATAAACCTTGGCGAGATTGTGGAACCGAAATACTGTTGTGGGAGCGGGTTTTCCTTTTCTGGGGGTGAAGTTTGAAAAGCAGGGTAAAGATTTTGTTGCCTTATATTACTTCTAGGTGGTGGAAAAGGGCTATAATTCTCACAAGGTGTAAAGAATTGTTCGATGAAAGTCTGAGGTAAATTTTCTGGATTAGAATACGATGCGACAGTACACTGAGCACTTTTTTCTGCTAAAATCTTTTGCTTTTTGTATTCTTCCTGATTAAAATATTGTTGATTTTTTTGTCTATCTCTTGATTTTGGTATTCTCACGCAAACTAAGCTCTTATCTATACAGTCATCGCTTTTAGACTTACATCCATCAACTGCATGTTTCTTTATGTCGCCACCAACCTTTACAGAAAGCATCTTTTTCAATCCGGTGTGCGGTTTGCACTTCTTGGAGTGATGTGAGTTACATTTCCTATTTTGACAATGATTATGACATTTACAAGTCCTCAGAAACCTTCGTGTATGCTCACATTCTTCGTAAGGCGATTGCTTGCACATGCATAATTTTTTTCTCTTTTTGCATTTTTCTCGTATTCGTTCAATTTGTTTTTGATGTGTCGAAGCAGCAACTTCTACGCAAAGAAATGAACTGTCTCTGGACTCCAATCTGTTTGTTGAATCATCTTTGGCAACCTTTATTGGATAAACTTCGTTTGACTTCTTGCGTCTAAAGAATTTTCTTTTAGGTTTGAATTCTTTGGTCTTATCTTTTCTGAATGTAGAACTAATCTCAAAATTGACCTCTCTTCTCTTATACTGTTAATAAAATATTTATCTTTCTCTAATTTATCTTTTATTGCAACGAGCAATTCTTTATAACTCATACTGGACAACTGACAACCCCCTAGAAGTTTTAAGGAACAGCCTAAAAATGATTTATCAGGTATTGTACAGCATCATTACCCAATGCAGACTGATCTGGCCATTCTGTAATGTTCACATTATCAAAACATTCCTGAGACATTGTTTTCGATAAATCATAATAATTTCCAAAATGGTGAGTGGTCTGCTTTTTTACTTTTGGAAGTTTTTGATATCTAAAAGCTATTGTCATTTTATCTGTTTTGTGCTCATCAAGAAGCTCAGGCTCTGGATCTGAAGATATAACAGCAGGAAGCTCTTTAGTCTCTCATAAAATAAAATTTTATTTAAAACAAGAAATCTTCATTATTAATTCATATAAGTACCATTTTTCCAGGATTATAATCTTGACTTCCCACAAAAACAGCATGCTTGTGAACAACTCCTTCTGCTAAAAAATACCTTAACATCACTCGAGAATAGGAACCACCACTATCTTCCTCTAAAAAAATAGTTGTGCATTAAACATGCACAAAAGTAGAACCGTAATGCCTTACCAATAAGCACCACTGATCCAACAGGTAAACCACCGCCTACATTTTCAACAGAAGAGAAAAACGTAAAGAAAATCAAGTTGTGATATTTATTTAACTATACCTAAAAGTTCATCAACGCTTGGTATTCCACTAGACACAAGAAGTTGACCACTTTGCACATTAGCGCGAGTTCCTGGTATAGACAAAATACTTTTGATTGTCTTTCTTTGTTCAGTTTTTTGTTCCATTTTATTTACAAAATCTTATTATTACTTTGTTGTGTTGAAAATCATAAAAATTATAAAGTTTTCATACGAAACAAGTACACCCACACATTATAAAAAGTTAGGTTACAACAAACCATAAACATAGATAATAGATCTACAAAGGGTAAACCATTGAACTAGGGGTAAACACATAGTGACAGGCATAGACAAGTGACAAAAGTTTACCACAGATAGAAAATATTCAGAGGACCGTAGCCATCTAGTAATTTAAAGAGAAATTAAAACTTAATCTGCGGGAAATTTAAATGGATAGGAAAAAAGGAGGTACACAATAATCTATTCCTATTTAAGAACTCACTTCAGTCAATAAAATAACTTTATAGTTAACCAACATAATAAAATCCTTAATTTTAATGCATAATAGCATGATGACATTCTAATAACTAAAGATGATAAATATTCAACATATCAATAAATCGATAGTGCCTATAATTGCATAATTAGCGATGTAAATACTTGTAAAACTTGATTTCTTTCAAAGGAGATTATAGTAAAAGAAACTCGTTTTTGTACTATCCTACTCAACTGAATAATTTCAATAACTTCTTTTAATTTTCAGAGTATNGTTCTTAGAAGAATTTGATTGGAGTGGAATTAACCCCCCTTTTTGCGGAATGTAAAAACTTCGAACATCGGCTTGTTCGGTCAAACAACACTGTTCTCCTTTATTACTTTTATCGACTTCGCATTGTGTTGGCTTTGCAACATTACAAACTAACGACGCTGTAGTTTGTATATCAGTATTTTGCCAAATATTCTTTACAGTACCACCGCAATGCGCCGCTACCCTAGATCGCATAAAAAACTCAGTAAGGAATGATTTTTGTAAAACATCTTTCATTTGTAGCTCGTTATTTAATTCGTTAACCTTTTTGGGGTCCGTTTTGTTAACAAATTCTAACAGTCCTGTAGAGTTCTGCTCGTATTTTGCCTGAATTCCAAACCAACCTGGATGTGGGTATTTCTTCTTTCTATTAAAATGTCTAAGGATGCGATTGGTGCTTTTATTTCTATTGGTGACCCTCTTATTTTCCCTAAAATAAGAGCTTTTACGTCTAGTTCTGTAATATTGTCTTTCATCCGTCTCCATCTCATCAGTTTCGTCCAACCAATCGGAACGTACTGAAGGTTTTCTGTTAATATATTTTGTTATCAATCTTTTCCACATGAGTTTGCATTTGGTGCTAGAAAAATTGTCAAAACCAATCGGTACGCCCAACTCGAAATGTGAATTTACTTCTCTCAACTGACACGATGAAACATTGCTATTACTAATCGAGCCAGTAAATGAGAAAGGATTGAATGGTTTACGTCTACTGTTTGACGCTGTACTAATTTTAGATTTTCGTAAATATTTACTGATTGGCAGTTTAGTTTTCAAGGAGCGTAACTTCATTTTCTCTTGTTTAATTTGCAGGTAAATGTCCACGGAAGATGGTCCCACAGCACAACTTTTCACATATCTTTGTTTTTCAACAGCTTCACTTTTATTCTCTTTGTATGGGAGATTAAATTCATTGTGTAATAAATTGTTATATGCTGCTATGGCTTTGTTTTCAATTCGCCGTTCTTCGCCTGATTCTTTTCCACTTTTATCATCTAATTTTAAAAGTTTCGTGGTTGAGATTTTCGTATTGGGCACTTCCGGTACTTTTGTGAGTAATGGGATACAATGAATGCAGTTACCATCAGCATTTGCTTTATTAACGTAATCCAACTTACTGCTCTCATTTAGTCCAAATTCCTTTTGCTTGAACGACGTATCACTTTGCTGAAAACCTTTAACTATTTGCGTAGATTCATTGTTCAATTGCGGACCTGATAATGTTTCTTCACAACTCATATCATCCAAAAATGGATTAGTATTAGTTTTAAAATTCTGAGGAATGCATCTTTCTTGTATTTTCAATGAGTCTTGCCATTTTTCTTTATTCACCTCAGATAATTTTAGTTTCTCCTGCAAAAGTTTGTTGTTATCCATTAACTCCTTTCTAGAAAATTTCTTTGATTGAATGTAAGCTTCTTCAGTAGTTTGTTCTGACAAATTAGGTAATTCTTTATTTTCTAACAAAAACGACCGAGGAACTACGTAAACGTCACAATTTTTTGCATGTTTTAATGTTTTCGAGCCTAACCAAAACTCATTTTTCAGCGTTCGTAAGGTTTCTTCGTTGAACTTTGTTGTGCGGACTACTTCACGCAAAACATTAAGGAACACGTTACTAGTTGCACTGGAACGTTTGAAATTCAACAATTTACGACTATTGTTGTTTCTCTCTTTACTTGAAGAATTCAGATTACATATTTTATCGGATTTTATTTTTGACTTTCTGACTTTGATAGAATTTACTTTATTAACATTTCCCTTATTATTTATTGTTAGTTCTTTAACAACGCTTTTCTGAAATCCTGAAGTATTTCCAATTTTGGTATGTAATACCTCAAGAACGTTTTGAGGGGTCACATTGTTAACTTCTTCCATTGGATTATCATGTAAAATACTTTCTAAGAATCGCAGATGATTTTGAAAATTCGAGGGTTTAGTTGATTCCTTATTTTGATTACACTCTGCAGTATAATCTGTGCACAACAATTCCTTTTCCGATCGGCACACATGTTCATTACATTTTTCACGTCTGTCAGTTATTTCTTCGACGGTACTCGTCTTGTCATCTAGCGATTGCATCAACATTTCAAGATCTTTAGCCCGAATATTAATATGACTTATGATTTTCTGCAGTTCGGTTTCTATATTTGGCAAATGGTATAATTTGTTTTGCGACTGAGACCGAGAAAATTCATTATTAACGAGTAATGAGCTTCCTATTTCTTTTGACTTATTGATATCTTCCGTTATGTAGTTACCTCCATTCTTTTTTTCGAGTGGAAGAACATCACATGGAGCAACCATGTTCTGAAATTGTGACGATGACTTTTCAGTAACTTTTGACAAATTGAGATTATCTACATAATTTGTTAAATTTTGTTGCAACAGAATGTCCAGTAGTTCTTGAGTGAAAAGTGTGCTCAGTGATTGAATAAGTAATGTTTGTTGATGTTCTGGAAGTGGCTCATCATGAGAAGATTTTTCTTCTGCTTTATTGTTTTTAAAATCTTCCTCGTCTTTATTTTCTCCGCCTCTCAATCTTGAACAATTGTCATATGAAAACTGTTGCATTCTATTGTACAATTCTGTATCATCAACAACTAAGGTTAATACCTCACTTTTGCAAATAGGTACACTAGAGGTTCTTATTATAGTGAAGGAGTCACTTTGACCATTACATGACGTACCACCATACGTCGAATTTTGGCTTTGAAAATTATTAAGATTTGCATTGCTTGTACAAAAGTTGTTAATATTGCTGCCCTTTAATGCATAATCTGAAGGGTCTTCAATTTTGAAACAATCGATTGATTTCTCAATTGAACTTCCTCTAATAACTTTAAATATTGGACAATAAAATAAGGAACTTAAACTATTATTACTACAATCCGATTCGGACCAAGAACGTTCATATTGTGTCCCGACTTCTCTCTCATGCCAATCTCCTAAACATGATCCTGTCAAACTAACGTCATTGTTGAAAAACTCTTTTCCGCTCTCTTTTAAAATGACTTCATCTTTTGGAGTACAATCAAAAGAAATCCTCGGTTTATTTTTATCTTCAAAAGATGCTATCAAAGGACTATCAGCATTTTCGTCAGAACTATTACTGCAATCACAAACAAAAGAAATTTCTATTTCTTGGGCCTGAAAGTCGTCGTTACAACTGTTATAAGTTTCGTCAACTTTTGAACATTCTTGTTGAAATTTGTTTGTACTTCTGTTACACCCTCGATCTTCCCTTTTGCCTAAAAAATTAGTTCGGATTTCTGGGTTAACGATTTCAATTTTTCCACAGGTATCAGTACAAGTTGACGTCACTGCATTCTCCTTCGTTTTTGACAATGACTTCAAACTGCTACCATTAGGAGATACTAATGATGCTCCGCAGCCCATCATTTGAATGTCTGATAGTTTGCTTGAATGGTGAGAAGCATCTAATCTTGAAGAAGTCTTCCCACTTCTAAATCCATTGGTACTTTTCCCACTTACTTTTGTTGAACTACTACTTCGATTTGTATTTTTATAGTAGCACACCAAATTTGGAAACGTTCTAAAAACTGATCGAGCACATTTATTCTTACAATGATTTATGTTATTTATTATTTCGTTCATCAGTATTCTCTGAGATTCAAAAAGTGCTGGGAAGCACGACTTCTTCTGTAACCCTCCAATAGTTTTCAAAGATGTACACAACTTCTTACAGTTGCGACATACTTTATCCTTGGATTTAGACTCGAAATCTTGTTTCTCACTCAGTTTTAGTAATTTTTCTCGATTTTCCAGTTCCTGCCCTTCGAATAGTGACATGAACGAAGTGTAAGACATTCTGGCTTCAAGTTCGGCAATCTTAATTACAACTGCTTCCAAACCATTCCTGTAATATCCACTATTTCGGGCTGCTACGAACTTTATTTGTAGTCCTCGTAGTGCTCTGTAAAACGGACATGACGCTGGTGTAGGCCAAGGTGCTGCATCGTATGGTGCAAATTCTCTGAAGGCGTTAGTGACTGATTGTGACGGTTCTTCAGCTTTCATACATTTTGATGATGTGAAATCAAAATAATTACACAGCAACGAACCTATCGATTTCAGTTTCGGCGGAGTATATTCAAACATCGTCTCTTGCTCTTCCTGGATATGGGAACAAAGACACATTGAGCTTGTACTCCGTGCTGAATTTTGTGGATGAGGACTTCTTCTTAATTTAATTTGTTTATTCTCACAGTAAGGATATCCTTTGAATGCCTGTTTTGTGTCTTTTTTTCTTAATTCCGATTGCCCAGACGTTGAATCAGACGATAAACATGCGCTCCCTAAGGTTTGAGTGAGGCAGCTGCATGTACTAATATGTTCTTTTATCTTACTGTTTGGAACATGTTTAAAACTGACTTTATTCCTCAATCTTAGTCTTTCATTTTTATCCCGGATTGTACTTTGTTGCTTCTCCATTTGACTGTGTTTATTTTTGTTGTGGATACTGTGGCAATATATTTTCTTATCGTAATTTTTGTTATTTATTATTAAGTCCTCCGAACTCCTCCCAGTCTTCGGAGTAAACATAATTCTCGAAGGAACAAATTTAAGAGGATTTTGATTTTTGGAATCAAAGAAACATGCATCTACCGCTTGCTCCACCATTTTTCTTTGGGTTTGTGTACAGTTTTCCATTCTTCTTAAACACGTCTTGAGTGTATTACATCTTTTATTAGTATCTCTTCCTGCAGCCTTTAAATCAATGCTTAGGTCTCCCCTGAGCGAGCCCTTATAATTTTTTTTATTAGAATTATACACATTCGAACAACTTGATCGTGGTAATGCTACTTGAATCTTAAAACTACGTTTCCCTGGCTTTTGTCTGCACACTTTGACCTTTTGAAAACCAGATGTAAATCTATTCTGTTTTATATTAGCCAAAGGTGAAACATGACCCGCCATTTTTGTTGCTACCTTTGGTGTCTTAGCATAACAGTGTGTGGAAGCTTCTGAACTGGAGGGTTCAAGAAGATTTTTGGACTGGCAGGTTCTTCTTTGAGGTTGGGAAGATCGCCCAATCATTTTCTGCCCTCTTCGTCGAACATTCTGATCCGTTATCCTTCTCCTTTGTGCTTTCAAAAATTCCCTGTAGCGCCTTTTTCTCTGGCATTCCTGATTTAATTGTAAATAATTTTTCTTCTCGCTTCTTGAACAATATGAAGACGACTTATTTCGTAACAAACCCGATTGTGCAACGTTTTTGTAGATACAATTAGCATTTTGTTGATTAAATCTCAAACGTTTGTTATAAATCTCGTTGCTTCTTTTACTGAATTGTTCGCACCTGTTTGTAATACTTGATGACATCGCTCAAGCCGCTGTAGAAAACGTAAACTTACGAAATTCAAATGTTTCAACAACATCTGTCAATACATACTGAATCAGAAAATGCTTTGACAAAACGGACCAAGCTGTAAATTTTTAGATTATAACCAGATAAAGGGGCTAATAATTCTATAACTTTAACCACTGGTACGTCTAATTGATCTAAATGCACTTGAAAATTTTAATTTGCCGTTATCCAAATGAACTTTTTGTTTTACAATTTTACGTGCTTAATCAACAAATACATGACGACAGTCGAAAAAAAGGCAGTCATGTCACAACCGAACTGGATAATTAAAACAAAATGGAATGATCAAATAAAAACTAATTAGAAAATGAGTTTGTTATTCACATATGTAATTTTTAGGGCTTAGTATCTCAATAGGGAAACGGAACCCTCATAGGGTCCTTAGGTACTTATTACAGGCAAAAAATATTATATTTTATTGCGACTGAGACCGAGAAAATTCATTATTAACGTGTAATGAGCTTCCTATTTCTTTTGACTTATTGATATCTTCCGTTATGTAGTTACCTCCATTCTTTTTTTCGAGTGGAAGAACATCACATGGAGCAACCATGTTCTGAAATTGTGACGATGACTTTTCAGTAACTTTTGACAAATTGAGATTATCTACNAACTACCGAAGCCAATGAATCCTTGAAAAAGAATAGTAAGACCTTTGTAGTTTTATTTAATTCTGAAGCAGCATATTACATCTCGTCTTTCATACATACATCGGTTTTGTATAAAGTTCTTCGAGAGTTACAAGTGTAAAACATAAGAAAGCGCAATTGCAAATGTTCATGAACATTTGTTTTCGGGAATTAATGCGTTCCGATTCATCTCCCTGGCAAAGGAACGATGCCGAATACGCTACGACAGCAGCCAGGCCCACATGATTATCCTGCATCAGAAACAGAGCTGTCAGTGCTCCCAGTCCCAAAGCCACCATGACTGACAGCATTCTTTTCACGCCGTTAAATCCCGCAACCGGATACAAAAACAAAGGAACTGCACACGCACCGGCATAGATATGTCCGGCATATTGATGAATCATATCGTTCTTGAAAAATTCCAACCACACTTCCACCGCCAAAAACGGAATGGCTGTTGCTGTTTGTGAAACCAGTGCTTTCACATACGCTCCCGGGATTTGGCGCTGGTTCCCTTTAGATTCTGCATACGACGCCCAGAGCCCCATCAGGGAATAAATGGCGAAAACCATAAATGTTCCATTGGCGTATGATATAGACGGATTGAACTTTTCCAATTCTATCAAACTGAAGAGGCTTATGCTAGCTAAAGTTGCGAATGAAAGTATCGAACCCATTGTTGAACCCTTAACAGGTCCGGAATTTTCTTTCGAATTTTCTAACTGAAGCTCTTCTATTGTTAAGGTTTGAGATTCTCCATTTAGAGTAGAAATAGTCGAAAGTTTTTCATCTTTTTGAATCCATCTTTCGTCTTCCAGAGCACTGGATCGGTATGGTAAAGCATGGGGCGAGGTATCGCAGTTTGAGACTTCATTTATAACCACGCTGATCCACGGAATATTCCGAAAGAAGCTCATATCGCTTGTACCACAAATAGATTGCATCCTACATTCCATATCGCTTAGTACATCTTCCAAAGCAAGCGTTTGAGTATCTTGTCCTTTAACAAGGACCAACGAACGATCTTGATCGATGGCTTCTTTTTTCTTTCCGCACTTTCGGCACCTTTCAACCACTTCCTCTTCCTCCAGAGTTACACAACCTTTGTTCAAATATATATGAAATTCACTAGAAGATTTTTCGATAGGGTACAATTCCCGAGGGCAATTTTGATTAGGTTTGAATGGTGTAAATTCCTTCATTTTCGGTTTTCCAGTTGTTAGTCCTTTGCTCATTTTTTACTAATTATGTCAATTTTAGGATTTTAACCAAAGAGACCATTACAGTACACATTTGCTACATTATTTTGTAAATTAGCTCGTGATTTTGATTTTTATCCGTTTTTTTTTTAATTACAATTTTTTATTCCATTTCAGTTTCTTAAGTCACAAATGTCAAATTTTCAAAATTGTCAAAATTAAATAGTATTAAAAACAACAGCAAAAAAATGTGGTCAAAAAAGACTAAACTCCTGCAAGGTACTTTATCTGTAAAAATTACTAGAATAAATGAATATTAACTGGAAATGTCCGAATGGAGCGACGAACGACGCCCATACCGCAGGCAAAGGGATGATAAAAGCTACTCGGATTTCAACAGTGCCAAAAACAAGGAACCGGTGTGTAAACAAAGAAAAGTAAAGAAAAAATGCTTGTTGAACGATAAATACGCTGATACAGAGTGCGTCAAATCCAAGAGAAATACTAAAATTCAGAAAAATTCATGTCCGTGCGGTACAAAAGAAGCATGCTGTTCATCATTCGAACCAGATGAATCACCCGTGAAAAATGGTAAGAGTAAAAAGGTGAGACTAAATGCTGAAACAACAAACTGTGAATCGTCGTCATTCTGTGATACCTACGCAAGAATCTATGATAAAGCAACAGCCACGAAAAAAAAATTAAAGTGCAGAATAAATGACGCGATCTCAATAGAACGATTAAGTTTGAAATCGTCCGATTCGGAAGACAATCTTTTCTGTTGCTTATATAAACGATCCAAAGGTCAATTACAACAGCTTATAAAAAACATAAAAAAGAAAGCTTGCCAAAAGCCCAGTGAGAATTGTCCAAGAAGTGCTTCTAGTTACTCGAACTCGTCCAGTAGAATGGGTACCTCAACTTCGTCTCAAATGGACGATGACGACAGTGAGAAAATATCTTTTGCTAGAAATTCTGACAGTGATAGTCTGGATGGATATCCCAACACAATGGACAAAGAAGACATCAGAAAAATTGAGAGAGCTTTACGACGACCTCTCTCACGCGTTCTTGATGCTGCAGACAATCCAGTCCCTATAAAACTGGACTATTTTGCTCCAATTGATAATAATCCCACGAATATTTGCCACATCAAACCTGCTTCCTTAAAAGCCATGTCACAAATGCATATAACAGAAAAAAAACTGGAAGAGTTTCGGCGAAATGACTGCGATGTATCAACTGATTGGGAATTGGTATTTTCTTCTATAAAAGGCTACTATCAGAATAAAATGGGCAATTCATGTGAATCTGAGAAATTAGAACTGAACGACGTCTTACAAGAACTTGCTAACGACAAACAGTTTCCACATGATTCTGTTACAGAAATTGGAATTCAAGCTTCCGAAGTTCACTCCGTAGAAAACGTGTCTCAAAAACCTTCACATACAGACGTTGGTGATGACAATACGATCCCATTTAAAGATGATGTTTATCAAAACGGTTCGTACAAAAAAATATGTGACAACATTATCTCGTGCAAAGAAGCTCACTCCGTAGAAGACGTGTGTCAAAAACCTTCACATACAGACTTTTGTGATGACAATACGATCACATTTAAAGAAGATGTTTATCAAAAAGGTTCGTACAAAAAAGTATGTGACAACATTGTCTCGTTCAAAGAAGATATGTCATGTCGAAAACGTGCAAGGAGAAACCCAAGAACGTATTCTAACCCTGTATGCCCCAAAAATATCGAAGCAAATCCTTCCTTTCTCCGAAACTGTGAAAAAAATGACCTCTCTCACATGAAAAATGAGGAAATTATAGAACAGATGTCTTTGAATCAGAGCGCTCCGATGCCAACTTCTATTTCTGAGATCCCAACGACACTTGAACCAGAAATTAGCGAAACTTATATCCCAAAAAGTGCATCATTTAATTTCCCTACTTGTGGTGGAGAATCTAATAACATACTATCATTCTCCACTTTAGCCGGCTTATCCCTGTGTTGTATCCTCTATACAGGTTCCTATTGTTGCTTTTCTTTCTGCATTTCCGCCGTTGCATTCATTGTGCTCGGTTTATTTGCCGCAATTGGAACATGGATTTCATACCAAATAAGCCAAGACCGATGTATCAATCCCACCGAGAAGCTGTACAACAAGCTGTTCGTTTTGGAAATGTCCGTTGCCATTCAAAGCGTCACCATAGAGATGTGGTACAAATGCTTGCGATTTGATAAAATCGTCACTTATGTTTGTCTGGCACCGTGTCTTATACCCGTATTCATTTACGTTGAACAAGAAAATGAATCGATACTTACTATATTGGAGAAATCGGTTGCAATTTCAGTGTTGTTATTTGTAATGGTCTCAATATTGGATAGGAATTTCTATGGGATTGTCGCGGCAATAGCGTACGCATTATCTTTTAAGAATATCAAAAAAATAGACGGGAGTTTGACGTTATCGTCTCAAGGTATCAGCAATTGGTGGTGCTGCTTTTTTACCATTTGTGCATTTCAGGCACTTCAGCTTTAAGATGCTACTTCAAACTTTAAAAATTATTAATCCTAATTGATGTTCTTTGAATTAATTCTTTACTTCATCAGTACACATTTCAAATGAATGCATCCTATATTAATAGCTACTATTATGTCATTTTAATTGTGACATTAATCAAAATTTTAAGTTCCCGATCGTTTACATGAAATAATAAGTAATGAGAAACCGATGTTTCGATATAGAATGTTCAAAGTTTAGAGAGAATGAGTGAAGAGAGTCCTTCAGCTCAGTGTAAATTAACTAGGAAGGTACAAATTGCCGAAAAGCCCCTTGTAATTCACTGTTCTGTGAACGAAAAGTCAAATACTAGTGATTCGTCAAGCAAAGAATCCTTCTCATTTGATAAAGACGAAGAACAATCCCTTCATAATTCGTTCACAAATCATACTTTCAATAACGCCAAATGTGCACCTGAATATTTAACCACTAAATGGGACAATAAGCATAAAATCAACATTTTTAATGAGGAAAATTCTTCTAAAGTAAATAATAATCCAGACGACTTCTTATCTCTCGTGCACGAGGACAGAGAAAACCCCGAAATCACACAAGACTCAGAAATGTCAAAAAACTGTGATAATTTATACAACAAATACGGCTCAAGGCCAAACTCAGAAACTGGTCTAATCGAAGACAGCGTCTTAAACAATAGCTTTATCACCAATTCCCAACGAATATTAGCAAACTTTCAAAAGTGGGCTAACAAGGAACCTCTACAGAATGAATCGCCAGAAATAAATCTAGGCGTAAACGTATCAACCACTTCAAGTACAGACGAAAGTGAAACTGAAAATCCTGGGATTAACTACAATTATACTAATGCGTTTCCCGAAGGTTACGTTCCTTCGAGAGGGAGAAACTGTCAAGAAGAATCAGATTCAGGGAGTGGATCGGAAAATTATTTGTTACTTCCCCGTGATTATTCCTTTGGAAATGCTCTAAATAACATCAACGCCAAACCCTTGAATTGGCAACAACAATATTTTAGTGGTCACCACGAAAATAGAAAAAGTCGAAACGAATATGAATTTGAAGATCGGGGAAAGCCGACAGAGGGTATGGAAAATTATAGTACTGACGAATATCCCAAAGAGGAAATAATTACTTCATCAGTAACAACCGAATACTACCAGATACCTGAACAACAAGCTCAAAATATGTACAAAAGTGCATTTCAAGCAAATCTTTATAGCACCCACGACGAACGTACTGCTTTGATGAACTTAATAACGGAATATTTAGAAGATCAGAAGAGGGAAGGATCGCTGGTCTCTTCTAGTAGCACTTCGAGCAGTAACGAAAGTAACATTGTAGATGCATCCTTAAGAAGGTATAGTACTCTAGAACACGACAGGTTCCAGGACAACAAAAAGCAACCATATCCATACCAAGAAATAACGGAAAACGTTATGTCCAAAGCAGGAGAATTGGAGGTAATAGCGGAAATGCCTAAAGATGAAATTTATAGCACCCGCTTCAGCAATTATTCAAATTATTCAAGAGAAGATAATCAAAGTCCTCTACAACGATTTAAGATGCAAGAACTGTCGTTAAAAAACGAAAACTCTGATTCGTCAACTTCTGTAAAATCTAAAGAAGATTACAAAACACACGACCATCCAGTTATTGAAAGTAATGCAGTAGATGTTCCAAAAATTTTAAAAGACTACGACTGCAATAAGTTTTCCGCTTCAATTGATGCCCAAAATTTAAAGATTGCAGAGAAAAGTTCTTCGATTGTCTCCACAGAACTCATTGAAGAAAGCCCGGTGAAAAGCAGTTTAATTAGTACAGGAGTTCAAAACTTCTTGGACAGCTTCAAAGATGAAAAACCAATCCAAAATATTGACTTTGGAACCCAACCGTTAATGCCCGAACTAAAAACCTCGTGCTCAGACGAACATTGCGAAAACAAACAACATTCCCATGAAACTTGCACCAGTATACCCATAGCCTGTGCAGGGATTCAACCAGGTCAAATCTGCAGCGGAAGCCAAGCATATGCCAACGTGTTAAACCTTATCACATTTGTAGTTCTTGGCGGTATCAGTTTGATATCTCTAAAAGAGATTTATTGTACATGCCATCCGAGTTTCTTTCTTCCGGTTACCTTCCTTAGCTTCGCAATATATTCAGCTTTTAATGCAATTGAAGCGTTCGAATGCATCACTTGCAATATGAACGAATTTACGCCACATCGTACTGCATACATGGTGGTGATGACGCTCTCCATGCCCTTTCTCGCAGCTGACGCCTGGACGCGTTATATGAAAAACTGTTACAGGCAAGTGGCTTACGGATTTCCATGTCTCTGCTTAGTACCGTTCTGGTTTTCCAAAAACCCGTACGAGATCGAAAACGCATTGCTATTGATCAACGGTATCAGTTTTGCAACGTTCACGATGCTTTGCTGTATCTTTCAATCGTTCATTGGAACCGCTGCAGTAATTGTATTCATCGGAAGTTTTGCTGTGGTCGGCGACTTGGGCAGCACAAAGGACACCCAGATGCAGAGCTTTCTCAACTTTTGTCATTGTATTTTTCTGTTATTTATCGCGATGTCACTTTCGCCGAAACGAAGATAAAAACTATTTTATTAATAAAATAGAAATAACAAGCAGCTATTTGATTCTGATTTTTATAAGTTATAATTAAGTGAACAGTCCTTTACAAACAGTAATTATTATTTTCAGGGAAAATGATATTTCACTTGTTTATAAATCCAAAATTGTTTTAACATCGTGGATTTTATTTGGTTTCATTAATATTAAGTAGTTTAATAGCTTCCTAAAATGCATAACCTTCCGATTAAAACATGAATTAAATTTATTACGTTGAAGAAATGTGTAGACGTAAACTTGTTATACCATAGAAAATATAACCCCTCAATGGCAAATGACCACAGACCCTTCCTAAAGTGTAAAGAGGGATTTAGTAGCGTTATTTGTAGTCCTGTGGACGACAGAGATCGATCAGCAGATGTAACAACGACCCAGTATCATATTTTTGGTAGCTGAAACGGATCGCGATGTTGGATCTCATCAACACGTCGCAAGCAATTTCACAGACCAACTCTTCCTGCTGCCTCGAGAAAGAGTTTTATGAAATCGCGATCCGCGTGTGGCAGTTTTGACAGAACGCTAGCCACCATGAACTTCTTTCTTATTCAATTTTTGCCTATCACGTAGGGGTGAGCTATGCCGTGAATTCAGTTTAAAAGTAGATATCCATCAACGTTAAATGGACCTTGTTAAATACACTGAATTCCACCACATGTGGATTGCGTTTACCACACCGTTTGTGGTACTTCATTTCTAGAAACTGATGAAAAATTGAGAGCTGTTCATGATCTTTTTCAAGTAGATTAAATATTTCGGTAATAATCGTGTAGACTGAAAAGATGATATATCTAAGACCTGCTGTGTGGATAAAAACAGCCTCTCGCGCCTTCACAAAGCTTCCATCATCAGAAGATCGTCAGTCCTAAGACTGATTGGACACGCACCTCTACTCTTTTCTTTGCGGAGCCAACCTTCCCATTTCCGCAAAACTAGAACAACCCAAATCCTCCACTGTTTACGAACAGTAATCCAATCTAGGTCTACCTAACCTAACCTAACCCAATTCACCCATTGAAAAGATGTATTTACTTTTAAACGTTTGGCACTTTGAACGTACAACTCTTGTTTATGTCTCTAATATGTCTCTGACTAGATATTCATGCCTGAGAAGGTGTCCTACCAACCTTTCTCGCCCATTTCTCATTGACTTCCATAGAGTCCTCTGTTCTCCTATTCTTTCTAATACCTCTTCTTTTATAACCTTCCCTACCCAGGGTATCCTCATCACTAATTTCAAACGCTGCTAACCTTTTCTTTTCCGCCGCGCCCTTCGTCCATGTTTCGCAACCGTACAGCGCTGCATTCCAAACATACACCTTTAACAATCTTTTTAGAATTTCTAAATTAATAGTTCGAGAACATAGAAGTTACATCTTTTTTTAAAGCCGACTCGACCCTACTACTCCTTCCGTCCTGGCTTATGTGACTTTTCAGATGCCTAAAATCAGCCACCGTCCTAATATTTACTTCTCTACGTTGCAGCTCCAGCTCTACAACTGCCTGTTACTCTTATTACAAACTAAGTATCACTCTTCCATCTCTGTTACTCATCTCTACATTTTTAAATATATTGTCCTACTTAACATTGTCAAAGGCTGTTTCATAAATCTACAAAATCTATGTATGCACTCTTTGCTTTACCCGTAAAGCTAGAATAGCCCCCCACATTCCTCTATCTCTTTTAAACCCAAATTAATTTTCCCCTAATGGCTCTTCCGCCCCTTTTTTCCATCCTCCTCTGTACAATTCTAGTTAAGATTTTTTACGTATGGAAAGTTAAGCTAATTGTTCTAAATGTCTCGCGCCTATCCGCGCATCTCTTTTTAGGTATGGTTATTATACGTTCCGCTTATAATCCTCTGGGATTTCCCCGTCTCATAAATGTGACTAACTAGCTTAAACATACGATCTCTAACATCTTGTCCTGCGTGTTTTAAATTTTCCGCCTATATCCCATCTATACCTGGAGCTATGCTTCCACATTGAATAAATCCATTTTCCGTGGGATTTCTCTTTGAACACATTGAGGTTGAATTTTTACGTCATAAAATATTAAACCTAATGGCATAATTTCACATCGACATCTTCAGATTCATCGGTCTGGCCGCACATATTTCTTTATACATTTTGACTACTTCTGTATGTCAAAATGACATTTGAAAACACTAAAGAAAATTTTCCGTTTTAATAATACCTCTATCCAAAATAAAATGCTTAATGATTGTGGACAATGGCAACCAATAGCAATATCTCCAACCAAGGGACCCTTCTCTCATATGCTTTATTAACGTCCGTAAGCATCTATTGCAGCGTGGTTCTTCTGAGCTATGGAATGATTCGGTACAGTTTAGTAACATTCCTCATCTATTCCTTCTATGCTTGGACGGCGTGCTGGACTTTCGCTGAAGATGCGTCCGAATATCAACGAAAAATTCCATATTACAACTTCATCGCCACAGCTGTTGGAACGATCGGACTGCCATTCCTAGTAGCCGACCTATGGATAGCTTACGGTTACTTAGACGCGTTGGCCCATTTCCTGTGCGGTTCGTGCATATTTATGACCCCGCTCTTATCGAGTATGAACAAAAATCGATTAAGTGTAGAAAATCAAATTACCTATCCCAGTTATCTGGCAAGCTTGGTACTCGTGGTGGTCAGTTTTTACAACAACAACAACGAGGGAGTAGTCGCATTCGTCATGTACCATTTGGCAGCAAGCTTTATACGAAACTCCACCAGTGACCGCTACATATCCGTACAGGAATTAACGAACTGTATCTTGTGCATCTTTTTGTACTTGTGCCTAAACGCCATACTAACCGTTCGTCCAATACAACATTCACCTGATATACCCACATTTGTTGTTTAAATATTAAATGTCCGTCCACAGTTATGTAATAAATATTTCATAACTTAATTAAAAAAATGGTTGTGCTTAATCGTCAAGTTTTATTATTTACCTGTAGTACCTACCTCCTATTTTAAAAAGGATAACTCTAAAGATAAGAATCTATAATCCCTTGGAATACATTTTTTTCTTGTAGCTGAACTTTTGATTTGAAATTTAATCATTTGTGAATCTAATCATGAATAGGTTTCATAAAATCTCGATTGATAACATAGGTCTGCGATAAAAAAGTTTTTTGTATAAATTTATCTTAAGCATGCAAATGTTGGTCTATATTTTGCAAACATAAACTATGTTTTAACGTATTACGTCACACTTTCTTTTTGTATGTAGATTAATATATGTATATTTATATAGCTCTTTGAATCGGCAAATTTATTTGTTTTTTCAAAAAATTCATTTTATAGTTTATATTTCTATTAAATACTCTCTGACTGAGCATTATATTGTCTTTTACTTTATTTTAGATAGTCTGAAAACCGGGGGTTCCTGG